AAAATGCTGAAAGCGTCAATACGAACATTGCTGTCGCTTGATGAATCTATATTTGACATTGCTGTAAACAAAAAGGGTGAGATTTTTTTTACTAATCCGTCTCGAGAAGCCGAAAGTCCAATCCGCATGCTGTTAACGTCGAGAGAAAATCACACTGTTTTGGACCCTTGGCCGATGATGTTACTTGCTTTACACCTGAATAAGGATGACGAATTGGTATGTGGTCCGCGTGAACAAGGGGATCCGTTTCCACTTCATGCAGATTTTTCTTTGCGGCAAGTTGTTATTTTTGGATGCGATTACAAAAGAAAAATGACATTTGAGGTTGATGCTAAGGGAAGAAAGCTCTTTACATATCCAGCTCGTATCCGTACAGACTCCAAAAATGTCAATTATATCGTTGATTGGCTACACAAAAACCAGACTGGGAGGATAATTTCAATAGATAGAAATGGTCGTCTGAAATTTACATATTGCGGACCTACCTATTTTGATTTTTTCTATCCATCATCAATTGCTGTTACTCCAACTGATAATATAGTACTGGCTGACCCTGTCAACGAAGCTTTACTAGTTTTGAATTCGAATGGAAATCTTATTGCACTATAGTATGTTCATAAGATGAATATTACATTTCCTTTGGCTCTGTGTTTTGACAGCGAATGATTTTTACTTATCGGTTGCTCGGAAAAAGAGGGTGCGAGTGGAATAATTCACGCAGTAAAGATTACAGATACACTCATGTGAATTATAGAAAATTATCATTTGAAGACTTATTTTTTCGTTAATCGTCTGTTCAATTAACAGTGGAAAATCTGGTGTCAAAACATTACCGTCTTTTCGAACACTCAGAAATGGAATTCCCTTTGATATCTTTTTTGCGTGGACGCTACTAATTATATGTTATTTCACAAGAAAACGTTCTGGTTTATAGCAATGGTGAAATATGAATAAAAATAAACGTATCATAGAATGATATCAATTTACTCTTAATATTGCAAACGATATACCAGTTTAAGAACGACAGGGTATAGGAGTTTTGAGTAAAAGGTTTGAAATATTGCTCTTGCAATAATTTCCTATTTGTATTCTTCTGGTAGTATACGTCACTGGAAGGTATTGAACCAAGTTGACTTCATCCCTTCGGAAGTTTTACGGTCATGCGTTGGTTGACTGATATGGAATATCTGTGTCACTGATTACCACAATGTTCCAATTGTCGTATTCACGAAATTGTCCTCTTTTCCTCGATTTTGAAATAACTGAATATTCTTAATATAGAAAGTTTACTTACCATGAGAAACACGACGTGTGCCACTTATGGAGCAAGATTAGCTTACTCTTCCGAAGCACCCGAGCTATCCCCGGCATTTTGGAAGGGTTTTTTGTCGACCAATCATTAGTTTTCTGAAACACGTACCTTACCGGATATTACAATAAAAAAAACGTATACTGAGAATCATCGAGAAGACCGCACATAAATGTACAAAATTGGAAAACAACCTAATCTTAAGATGTTTAAAAAAAGAATTTTTTTTTCAAATCATAATGTTTCTTGTAAAAATAATTTCCTTTTTTTAACCGGAAGAGTTATAACATATGCACATAACAGTATAGTTGTCTCATTGGCTCTTTATTTTTATATTAATTTTAAATCGTTATATTCAAAAAAAAAGCAACAAAAAATGTGTGTCGTCCGTCTTCCTTCATATGTCTCTTCCGTTGTCGTCCGTTAATTTTTCAAAAATCGCCTTCTCTGAAACTACCAGGCCAATATCAACAAAACTTTGACACAACCAAGATTATTTTCTTTAAAAGCATGTCCTTCAAAGAAATATAGCCGCCATGTCTAAAAAAAAAAAAAGAACACATAGTGGTTTAAATGTAAACATTGTTTAATATCTTAAAAACCATTATCGATAATCGAAAAATATCACGGTGGCAAAAAATTTCAGAATGTGGAGATCTACTTGCTGTCCAGTTTTATCAAAACTGTTAGACGACACCTTATATTATAGGAGAAGATGCCCTCCATTTATGATTTTCCCCATTTTTTATTTTTGTGTTTTAATCTATCTTGAAAAGTTTAATAGATAGAGTGAACTATAAAATGAAAAAAGATCAGCAAGACGTGATCTGCAAATCAGTCTAATTTTCGAAATGGTCAGCAGTATAGAATTAAAGAGATGTGGTATGATTGCCAATGAGACAACTATCCACCAGAGACAGCTTGCCATCATAGACAACTTGCCACTAGAGACCAAATAACGTAGAAGTAACATTACAGCAATTATAGAATACCGTACGGCCTCCAACAATGAGCAGAACACATACAGCATTGCCTGCTATAAAAGGCCACGGCATGAAAAATGTAAAACAATTAAAGCGAGAAAACTAACTGCCTAATGTTTGTACAAAACAATAAACGAAAAACAAATATGATACACAGCAACAAACGACAAATCGTTCATATTGACATGTATCTATTTTTTTTTTAATTAATGCAATTTTTAAAGCAGAATCTTAACTTAACTTGTCGTTGTTGTTTGAATGCTGGCCATTCCATAAGAAAATGAATTCTTATATTGAATGTAAAGAACACAATTTACAATTTATTTTATCTTTGTCAATATTTTAACGATCCTGCTAATTCATGAATAGTTATTTAAAAAATTTTCAGTGTAAAAAAAAATTCACAGTATAAAGATAAGTTTACCGTTTTAAAATATTTCAAAATTTGAGATAAGTCCGTAATTTACCCTTTTTACTGTAAAAGATTATCCGTCCACGGCAATTCTACTACTTTTTTATTGAAACATCTTTAATATCATTAACATTGAGATGATTAATACATTCATTCAACTGTTTTGCAATTTAAAATACAACAAAAGAATTACATGTGTGTGCACCATTCTAAATGCACTGCTTTGTTCTGATTGATATTTCAGTCCGGGAAAACACGATTCATTAGTATTTTTGTGCGTCATGCCGACCTGACGAGTCAAGCACTTTCCAACTGATATTTATAATTTTCTTTATGAACTGTGTTGTTACACTACTGTCCCAGTTGAGATAGAGATTTGGGCGCTCGCAAATATGTTTAACTCCGTCACAATCTGTATGTGTCTGTCCAAAGTCAGGAGCCTGTAAAAGCATATGCATGACGATGTACAATGTAAGTATCGGCAGAATGTAGGACCATACGATAAATGTATAGCAAAACATAATTAGTTATGTTTTGATTTATTTATCTTGCTACAGTGTTAAATTGATAACCTATAAGAATAAGTATGTTAAAAGGATCAATAAGTTTACAAAGATCGTATCTTAATTTACGAGCTAAACTTTGAAACCAAATATTTGTATCAATGAAAAAATTAAGAAAATGTTTTTAATAATTTATGGTAGCGAATTTCTGCTTCAATAATTTACCAGACGACTAATATCCATATTTTGCTTTTTTGATGAAAACTATAACAGACAGGGGAAAAGTGCAAACTGCAAAAATTATCAGCTACATAATTATGTATTGCCTTACACGACGATTTTTATAAATGTTTGGTGTTTTGGGTTATTGTTCAGAAAACTGTATTCGATATAATGATTTTTTTACATATTTTGTGCCGTTTTTGGCGAAACATAAAGAGAAATATGATCAGCAAAATATGTTTTACAAAATTAAATAAGTCACCATGATTGAAATCGTTAATCATCTCCTTACTTGAGTTGTTGCCCCTAGTTCACAATTTTAACATTTTATAATCCATCAATGCTGTATCTATGTGATCACTCCGGATTTTAAGATGGTGCAGATTTCTGAGTTGAAGACATATCATGAATCTAATGTTGTGTATTATGACTTGCAGAAAGTTTACATGCTATTTTAATCATCTATAGTGCCAACTTTTAACGTGTTATTTGCCCTTAAAATTAAGAAAAGACGGACTGAACAGCTGCTAAATTTTAGATATGCACTTGCATTTATTATATATAAATATATATGTAATAGATTATTATAACTTATTTGAGCAGTTGATTAGAATTATTAAATTATTTGATCAGTATTTGAACATGGGGCGAGGCATAGGGACATGTGGATAGATATTTATGTTATCCATTCATTGAATAATCGCACAACACATATACTGTTAAATGAAATTAAATATTCTGACAAAAACCAACCTTATCTCAAAGAAGAAAAAACATACTTTTAAATGAAATAAAATATTCGAACTAAAAAGCAAGCTTATCTCAAATGAAAAAAAATATACAAAGATATTTCTACCTCAGAAAATCTTTTCCATGGTTAAAATCCATAGTTGATGGAAGTGGGTCTTAAACTGGATAATAATTTGATCAGTGAAAATATTCAAATTTGAACAGTATCTGACAAAAGATGAAGCATAAGCATGACGACAACACTGTGATGACGTAGGGAAGGAACCATAAAATTATTTTCTCTTTGTGTAGGACGGAAATAATAAACGATTATCCCATGAAATAAAACAACAACTAGAATGACAGTAAGATAAGGATACGAGACATCATGAAAAAACAATTACTAGACACGTATACAAGTTTACTGTTATTGGCGTCTACTCTTAGATTAACCACTAAAAGACCTCTTCATCCGACCATACTTAAATAAAAATTTCAATTCAAACAATAAACTTTCTTTTTTAAAGTCCCGTGTGTCATTTTTAAGGCACCACCCAACACCTACAAAGGTAAAGGAAAAAAGATAACAAAAGTATAACTGTGAAGTCCTTATGAACTGATTACTAGTATTTATTTCAACTGGGTCATATTTTTTTCTACGAATTAAGATTCAGATTTCAAATACTTATTGTAGACACCTTTGAAATATATTTGTGAGAAGCATGACATTCAGACACAAGGCTTATATCCAATAAACAGTTCATACCACTTCAGTGTTGACATCTAATATCATTGATATGGCCAGATTTATAATATAGGACAGGGAAGTTATATATGACGTCAGCTGTGTTAGTGTGTACATGGTGTATTAGTCGTAAAGATGGCATCTAGATCTGCCAGTATTAGGAGGGCACAGGTACCAATGCCTTGTGGTTTTTGTAATGGGAACAAGATACAATGGAAATGTGAGGAATGCGATATATTTATGTGCAATACCTGTAAAGATAAAATCCACGGAAGAATCAAATCTACAAAAGATCATGAAGTGATATCCTTTAAAAATATTAAGGAGGATTCATTTTCTTCTACAGAGGTTTCATCTGATGTCATTTCATCAATTTTCAATTCGTATATAACAACTATACCAGTAAGTAATTTGCAATGCTCAGATGATGATATATTATACATTATTGCAAGCAAAGACCAAGAAAAACTCATTAAGGGAAAAATGCTGAAAGCATCAATACGAACAATGATGTCCCTTGATGAAGCTATTTTTGACATTGCCGTAAACAAACAGGGTGAACTTCTTTTTACTCAACTGTCTCGTGTACCAGAAAGTCCCCTTCGCTTGTTGTTAATGTCTGGAGAGATCCGAACGCTTATAAACCCTAACCCAATGAGATTACTTGCTTTGCATTTGAATAAGGATAATGAATTGGTATGTGGTCTACGTGAACAAGGGCCTCCATTCCCAATTCATGATTTCTCCGTTCGACAAGTTGTTATTTTTGGAAGCGATTACAAAAGAAAAATGACTTTTGAGTTCGACGGAAAGGGAAACAGATTATTTTCACACCCAGCTCGCATCCGTACAGACTCCAAAAATGTAACGTATATTGTTGATTGGATAGCTAGCAACCTGTCAGGAAGAATAGTAGCATTGGATAGAAGTGGTCGTCTGAAATTTAGTTATTGCGGCCCTACCTATTTTAACTTCTTCAAACCATCATCAATTGTTGTCACTCCAAGTGATAATATTGTGCTGTCTGATCAACACAATGACGCTTTACTTGCCTTAAATTCGAGAGGAAATCTCCTGGCAATACAGTTTGTTCATGAACTGAATATCACTACTCCTTGTGCCCTTTGTATAGATAGTGAAGGCTTTTTATTAATTGGCTGCTACCAAGATGAAGGTCAAAGTGGGAAAATTCACGCAGTAAAGTTGACAGAGACCCTCATGTAAGGTATGTTTTTTTTTTAAACCGTTTGTTAAAAAAAGAGGCGCTTGAAACCAAGGGCACATTCAAAACTAATAAGTAAAAAAAAACCAGACAAAACAATGGCAAAAAATAAAAATGAACGAAGAGACAAGCATGTACACAAAACACTACATAGAAACTAGATTGAGCAACTCGAACTCCATCGAAAACCGGAGTAAACTCGTGTAATCCAGAAGGGTAAGCAGTTTGTGCTCCACATGTGTCACCCTTCGTGTTGCCCATGCAGTAAAAATCCGGCGATAAGTCCCATTCGGTGATGTCAAAATCGAGGACAAGATGACGGGATTGTGGTTACAACAGTTGAAACATATTCATAGTCATCTGTGACACAGATGCTCCACAACGGTCAACTAACACCTGATGGCCTCCGTCAAACATTCGAAGGGATGACTTCAACTTTACCATTTGTTAGGTTCGAATCAATTTTTTTCGACTTTTGTTTGTAATCGATTTTAGCATTTAAAATTAGGTATAGCTTAGATAAAAGTAACAGTACAAAAAAAAACGGTACAATACTACATATAAAAGGTAAGTCATCAAAACTTTAGTACACAAAACAAAAAAGAATGAAAAAAGAAAAAAATACATCTTACAAAGTCTATCCGCATTATTTTGCAAAGAATTCAGCTCAAACCGGTGCTAGGACCCGTATTAACTTGCAGTAAGGTGATATTTTCTTGAGATCCGTGTTGAAGGCATCATTGTGACTTTGAGATGAAGAACAGCAACAAAAGCGCTGTTCCTAAGCTTTAAGTGTGTTTTTGCTGTGCATGTACTGTTTTTTGTCATAAACGTATACCCCATATCCACTGGTTTTTATTTTTCTATTCTATTAAAAGAAATTTACAGTACAACTGAAAGATACAAATATTTTTAAAAGTAAAAATAATACTTTAGAAGTTTTGTGCGTCCGAAGCCCTTTTCTTTATTAACCTTCATCCGAATTGCTCAAACCCAAACAGTTGAAAGCCAGGGATTTTTGAATACGGAATTTGAAATTTAAGTTATACGGAATTTAAAATTTAAGTTATACGGAATTTAAAATGTAAGTTATACAAAATTATATTTCGTATGATTGTAAGATGTTTATGTCTGTCTGGCAAGGATAACCTGACATTGGCCCGATTTTCATGGTTGATTTGTCAGCGTCAAGTTTTCGTTGTTATGCCTGTTTCTCAATTCCTATAAGCTTCTTTCTAAAGGTACTTTGTCAACTAAAGTTTATGTATTGACCGATTGTGAGGGAAATATGTCCATCTATCTGGTCATTCCATGGGTAATTGATGGATGATTGACAAATTAAGTTCTGTTTTTTAATTTGTAGTAGAACCATTATCTTAACCATTTTCATCAAAATATTTAAGCGATTGCATCTCGATTTTTACTTGTATTAAACGAGAGTTGCCAAATGTACAAAATTAAGACAATGCATTTAAGCTATTATAAAAACCATATATAGAATGTCCCCAGTTTTTGGTGGGGTTTGTGTTGCTCAGTCTTTAATTTTCTTTGTTGTGTTTTGTGTACCGTTTGTCTTTTCGCCGTTTTCGCATTTTGAGTTCGAATATTTCTTTGGTATCTTTCACCTCTATTTTGAATGCAGAATGTTTTTAAAGGTAATCTGAAAAATGGTAGTTCGTCCATTTGATATACGCAGGGGGTAGGAGGATTTTGGAAATAAATATTCTGGTCTGGTAATAACTGAAAACAGATTATTTTGACCGCGCAAAATAAATAAGTTGTACCAGCAAAAAAGGAAAATGATTTAGAACATACCTCTCTTAAATTATCCGTTTATGAATTTATAAGTTATTATGAAAGTAAGGTTTCAACTCCCTCAGGCAAAGTTATCCTTAGAAAGATTTTGGCTATTATATTTTAATCCTTTTTGGTCATATAGCTCTTCAACTGTTTCGGTTCTTATAAATCCTTGGCTTTCAAATGTTCGGATTTGAGCGTCCCTGATTTAGGTAAATCCAGAAAAGCGTTTCTTACCCAAAAAATTTACAAAGTGTTATTTTCTTTTCTTTTTTTTAATTAAACTGGGTCGATATCGCTGCTGGTGGTCTGACATTCCCAGAGAAGTCTAAACAATTTTGAATTACTGTTGACATAACAATGTTGTAATGGATTAAGATTCACAACATAAACAAAAGTGAAAAATAATAATGTTGAATCAGTGAAATTGTTGAGACAAATCAACCGTAACATTTCAAAAAGTATAAATTAATGTAAAAAAAGAGACCAAAGGGACGTTGAAAACTGTAATATATGTACTATCATTATCACTGAACTAGTATACATATTTGTTTAGGGGCCAGCTGAAGGACGCCTCCGGGTGGGGAGTTTCTCGCTGCATTAAAGACCCATTGGTGGCCTTTAGCTGTTGTCTGCTCTATGGTCGGGTTGTTGTCTCTTTGACACATTCCCCATTTCCATTCTCAATTTTACTAGTATGCAATGCACGTCAAATCAACAACACTTTACTATAATCAACATCCAGAGGCAGAGGACAGCAAGAAAACAAAACGATATATAGGCAACTTTTGACATGCTCCCTGATTTTGAAACTTCAAAGTTTTATTTATAATATGGTATGGATTACATGTTTATCAGTTTATCAACTTGAGATCAGTTGGAGTCCTTAGTATTAATAATTGTATGAACAATAATTCATTTCGTTTCAGGAAGTTGATAGCTGAGGATATTGTGACCTTTACCATATGCCATAGTTTGCTTTGAGTCTCCCTGAGCCAGTAACATGAAGATGCTATGGTTATGTTTTTTTTACTATAATTTTAATGGATGTTGTCACAATATACGCATGTGCACGACGATATCTTCGTTTCTGAAAAAATTGTCACGATCAAAACCAAAAGTTTAAAAAGTCAGATATACTAGTATACAATATTGTTGGCACTTGAAATTTAAATGAGTAAGTGCAAATAAGGCAAGAAAAAATAGTCCGATGGAGGATAAAATGCACTTTTTGCTCATTACCAAAAATCTCGCACTTTTTTTTTGGGGGGGGGGGGGGGGAGGCTTTCTTCATGTACATTTCAACCAGGAAAACCAATTCAATTATCAATTTGTTTTGCTTTCCTCCAATCTCTCATTTTATTCTGGAAAAGCGAGGTGAAAGATATCAAAGTCGAAAACAAACTGACAATGCCATGGCAAAAAAAAAACGATCAAAAGACAAATAATAGTATTCAAAACATAACAAAGGAAACTAAAGACAGATCAACACGAACCTTAACAGAAACCGGGGGTGATATCATGTGCTTTGGAAGGGTACGCAGATCCTGTACCCCATGTATTCCCCGTCGTGGTGCTCACGTTAGTACAAACCCGGTGATAAGTTTAATTCTGTTAGTCACATTTGAGTAGAAGAGGAAGGGATTGTGGTGACGACAATTGGAACATATCTGTGGTCATCTGTGAAACAGATATTCCATAACGGTCAACCAACACATGATGGCGTCCGTAAAATTTTCGAAGGGATGATTTCAACTTCACCACCTGGAACTCTTTGGTTAATATCGTCCTTGAAAGCGGCAACCCTCTATCAAGGAAATCATGATAGGAAATGCAAGCTCTGGAATATCGTATAAAACGGGATATATATACTCCATATGCAGGCGCTGCTGGAATGTGGCTACATAGATATGGCAAGTTTACAATTTGGAAGCTGAAATTATCTCTGTTGTCCTAAAGTTTTATTCTCAGCCGTCCGTCATTGTCAATTTCTAGATGTAAGTTAAGATATGAGGCAAACTTAACTGTATCTGTTGTATCACTTATTTCAAGTTCGATGGGATAGATGCGTTCAACATAGTCACCAAACTTTGAACTATTTAGTGACAGGACATCATCTATATAGTGGAACGTGAAGTTAAAGGATAATACTAGCTTCTTTTAATTCTTTCTAAGAAGCTCCTTATGAATTCAGCGTCAAATGAATAAAGGAGGAAGTCGGCAAGTACCAGAGCACAGTTAGTTCCCATAGGAATACCAATTGTTTGTTGAAAAATACGTCTCCTGCATACGCAACAAATAATTTAAACCAATTTTACAACACATCCAATTTAAAGCTGTTATCACATATCAAGTTCGTTCACTATATTTTGTTCAAGTCAGTGTCTTCTTCGAATAGGAGATACATGACTAGGATAAATCTATCGGCTATCGTCACACAATTTATTTACTGAACTAGACGTTTCAATGATGTAGAAATGACATATAGAATTTGCCTAACATGTTCCATGAATGTTATGAGAGATAAACAATTTGTCAAACCATCTTATTTGTCAGGATGAGTTAAACTTTTAAGTGTGTAAAACGGGTCTCTGAATTGTGTTACTATTTAGAAATAAAGCTTTAAGTTTTCGTACTGTTTTAATTAACCTTGATGTAATTTCTATGAACAATCACAATTTGTACAACCATGAATTTTAATTGTTTTCAATATTTTAATGTTAATTGATATATGTTTTAAAGCTAATAAAGAATATAATTGTGTAATATATCTAAGTTAGTTATCATTTAGGCCTTGCCACCAAGTGGTAAGGCAATGCGGTCAATGTCAAAGCTTGGATACCATCAAGTGAAGGGAGATCATTCCCATCTGTAGGTGTAAATGAAAACTGTTGTAATAGGTTGGTGAAGAATAAAAACAGTTCCATTCTTGCAAGTGGTTCTCCAATACAAAACCTTGGACCTGTAATAAAGATGATTGCTTAAATATATATGTAATAAACATAATGACAGCATGCCCATTCAATAACCTTACTGGTTATAGCAGAAAACACAACAATAGATAAAATTAATGTTTGATGTTAGATTTTCTAAAGGAACCAGTTTAGTCTGCTTTACAAAATGGATGAGTCAAATTAGAATACTGATTTTGGTACTATCGACTAGCTGGGTAACGCCATTGTTGGGAAAAAATACACGGCTTTGCCAGAGTAGCTAAAAAATAATAAATAGAAATTCGTTTTGTAATTGAGGAATATGTCTTTCATTCGTTTGTTTAAAGATGTGTGAACAACTAAACACAACCATATTGAAAGTTCATACAAGACCAGAAAAAATAGTCTGTTGCAAAAAAAAATCTTAATGAAAAGAAATTGAACTACCTTATTATACTAGTAGTATTATAGAAAAAAATACCTATTGAGAAGGGAACAAATGCATCCTTCCTCTGGATTTTGCCATCACTGTCCAGAAATCTCTCTGGCCTGAATGTTTCAGGATCATCCCAATATTTTTCATCAATATGTGCAGAATATAAATTGGCAATGACAATGGAATCTTTAGGAATAAAGTAACCTTGTAGTGTGGCATTTGTCTTTGCCACGTGTGGCAAGGAAAATGTTACTGTAATAAAGAAATAGATGTGTTAAAGGTGAGAAAGTATGATCAGCAACATAGTTTCGAGGTATAAATTGCAAAAATAGTGAAATTATAAGTGTCTGTATCTATAAAAAAAAGCTCATCATTGATACCAGGCTTATAATTATGTACGCCAGACATGCGTTTCGTCTACAACTGACTCATTGGTGACCCCCGAATAAAACAAGTTAAAAGGTCAAATAAAGTACGTAGTTGGAGAGCATTGAGGACTCAACATTCCGAAAGGTTTTGCTACATACAGCTAAGGTAATATATTCCTGGGGTAGAGAATCAATTCAAAGTTGTGTAGACAGCAAGTTTATAAATATGACCATATCAATGGTAATTCAGGTCAATACTAGTAATCTATTCCTGGGATGGAAGATTCTTATTAATTCGAACAATGTAATATGTGCTGGTAGTTCAATTGAATAAATCTTCTGTTTCGTCCTATACTTAATTCCGTGCTAACATAACAATTCTTTCGAAAAAGGAAACCAATGTATTTGAGTAAACATGCACATCTTAGGACTTGAAATAATGAAAACTTTCAATGAGTCCAAGACTTATTAAATTGTGGCCACGCGTTAAGGCGGCTTCATAAATGGCCGTTGTCGAAGATTACAACGTTTATAGAATTTAGAAATTTTTTTTAAAGCATTTCAAAAAACGTAAAAGGATTCTTAAATCAGTTCTAAAATTAATATTGTACAACTTACTATCGAATTGAGAATGACAGAAGAGCAGGAAATACTTTTAATAAATGAATAACTGTAAACGTGGATATTTTTCGTGAGTTGTTAGTTTCGTGCATCCAACAACAAACGGCCCGCCATGCTATTACTGTTGCTTTCAACAAACTATTCGCGATATTTTCGCGCATTTTATGACCGCAAAATATACGAAAATAAACCCCGCTCTAAATTTCCCCTTTTAATTAATTGTCTAATTTAGGAAAATATTTAAAACACGCCACAATTATAAAATGTTCATGACAATCCTTTGAATTGTTTATACTTTTCTGTTATAAATTACATGTATATGTTGTTGATATACCTTAGTCCTATAAGCTGTATTGTTTTTGATTTGAAACAAACTAAACTAAGTCTGTTATAATTACAATTTCCACATTTACAGTAATAGTTTCAAGGTTCGATCAACTTAAATTTTTGAGTTGGAACAAAATATTGCAAGGGGAATATATTATATGTGAAATGTGTATGATTAAATTCACCAATGATTTAGTAATTTGATATCAATTTAAGATTGTTGAACAACTAAGCATTCATGTATGATATTAAAAGTAATATGGTATAAGCTACATACATGTATTTCCTATTCTTTGGATTTCCAGTAAGGTGGCCTCTAGAAAAGGGAGGTTAACCTTGTCTGACAGTTTTACTCTTCGGTTTGTTCCTACAACCTGGGTAAATACATAATTATATTAAACACAATGTGAATACAGATTAATACCTGATTTTGTATAACACATACTAGTAGAAGAGAAAGTTTTATTGTGACATGTAGACATCTTATACGTTCAGATATTTCACATACAATCTTTTATGGTAATATTCTATACAAAGCACAAAAATGTCGTCATTCACCTCAAAAGCTAACCAAACCTTTAAACAGACTTATTCAGAAGGGATATAGTCACGATACTGTTGTAAGGTCATTAAAGATGGCATATTTTGGTATTAATACGGATCACTCATAGGATCTTTGCATCGGAAATAAACACATTTATTCTAAATCCAGTTGTTGGCATGATACGGGTTATGTTCTCCTCATATATTTTATGATGGTATGATATTAAACCCCTAACGGGAGGGATTGTGCTTGATTTTCTCATGATGAAGACATAACTTTTCAATAGTTTAATTGAGGTCTGGAGCTGGTATGTCAGTAACTGCTAGTAGTCCTTTGTTTATTTAATTAAACGACGTGTTTTAAAGCTAACCAAACCTTTAAACAGACTTATTCAGAAGGGATATAGTTACGATACTGTTGTAATGTCATTAAAGATGGCATATTTTGGTATTAATACGGATTCACTCATAGGATCTTTGCATCGGAAATAAACACATTTATTCTAAATCCAGTTGTTGGCATGATACGGGTTATGTTCTCCTCATATATTTTATGATGGTATGATATTAAACCCCTAACGGGAGGGATTGTGCTTGATTTTCTTATGATGAAGACATAACTTTTCAATAGTTTAATTGAGGTCTGGAGCTGGTATGTCAGTAACTGCTAGTAGTCCTTTGTTTATTTATGCATCATTGTCATTTTGCTTAGTTTCTTTTGTTACCTATTCTGACATCGGACACGGACTTCTTTTAAACTGAGTTTAACTGTGCGTATTTATGTGTGTTTGTTTATTCTACATTGGCTAGAGGTATAGGGGAGGGTTGAGATCTCACAAAACATGCTTAACCCCGCCGTATTTTTGCGCCTGTCCCACGTCAGGAGCCTCTGGCCTTTGTTAGTCTTATATGTTTTTTAAATTTTATTTCATTCAATTTATATGTTTCGGAGTTTATTGTGACGTCCATTATCGCTGAACGAGTAGACATTTTTGTTTAGGAGCCAGCTGAAGCCCGCCTCAGGGTGCACGGTTTTCTCGCTGTGTTGAAGACCCATTGGTGGCCTTGGGTTGTTTTCTATTTTTTGGTCTGATTGTTGTCTCTTTGACACATTTCCCATTTCTATTCTCAATTCTATTTGTAAAAAAAAATCATTCTAATTAAAAAATGCAAATCTGTTATGTTGTTGGTATTCTCTGAATTATATAAGCTTCTGTAGAGTAGTGATGATAAGTGTGTTTTAACATTTACACACCTTGTCGATTTCTGCCTGACATTTTCTTTGTATATCTGGGTATCTTATCATATACAGCAAGGACCAGTCCAAGCTGGTACCTGTTGTTTCTCCTCCTGCCAGGAACAAATCAACTATCACTTTGTAAATGTTAGCCTCTGAAGAAGACAAAAAAGATATCAAAATGAATAAAGTTAAAGAAGCAAAAACTCATCAAAGATGCAGGCTTATAAAGTTGAAGGCAAGGCAACCCACAATCCTAATCTATGGGATAAAGTTTGAAATTTCGTTGATGCATTACTCGAGTTTTGTTCTAGTCTTATGCTTTACTGGGTATAATGTGGATAGCAAACCAACGATCTAAATGTCTTCTTTTTGAAACAATGTAAGATACATAATAAAGAAGTTAAGTTCAAGGAATTAAAACATTGAATTTAAATGGGCCATGATATTCTCCACAGATTTTAAACAAACTAGTGCAATAACCTTAAAATAATTTCTAATGTGGCAGGAAAATGCTGATTACAGTAGAAGATCTGACATAATTAAAAGACGTGTTTTCAGGGTAAAGAAGTAACTGCTCTGGACTTATGACTAATTTATGAAAAATATCTTCAATTTATGATCATTTTTGGAGTGAAAGCAAACTTAAATGTGATGCTGTACCAAAGTCTGTTACTGCCTTGCTTTTATTTTCACACTTACCTGTAAATATTTCTGGTTCTGATTCGTCCATTGACACTTTATGATATAAATCAATAAAATCCCTGATGTTATTACTGTCAAATGTATCTTCATGTTCTTTGATCGTCCTAGCTAAATATCTTTTTACTTTCTCTATTGCCGCGCTTCTCCTCCGGATTAACTGTAAGAACAATATTGATCATGGAAATTAAACGCCACTGTTTGTTGATAGTATAAGACCGAGAATAGGTAACGCCCTAGTGGTCATTGTACAGAACTATACCTATAGTTAGATTACAACGCATATTGTGCCGCCTGGCAGAAGTTCCCCTGGAACTATGTTTTCCACAATACCATAATTTCTGTTCCTGTTGGAACAAATATTCTATACCAATATGTGTTCCAGTGGAAAAAATATTCCAGAATGTATCTTCCATTTGGAACTAATATTATGGAGGAAATTCTATTTCAAGACATATCAGCATATGATTTGTTTAGATATTTGATGCAGATTGTTTTTCCATGTATTGTTGGCCAAGTTTTTTGTATGCCATTATAACTGAAAATGTCTTGCATCAATTAAGTTTGAAAAGTAAAATACGCTTCCTTTGAACTACTTTGCAGAACCTACCATATACTTTATTTTGTGAATTGTTCTCGTCTTGAAACTCATGAAATATTTTACACTGGACGCTAAGAAAACGCCAATAATATACAAACACGGTGTTATATACATATCTTATACAAAAGACATAATGTTATGACTGAAACTTATGTTCCCATACTATGCTAACAATATTGATATATTATTATCTAGACATAAATCTTTAACTATCACGTTTAAAAAAAAAACTTGTAGTGGTAATATTATCAAGATTTAAAAGCATTTTTGATAAACCAGGAAAAAGTCAATCTTGTAACATATCTGGTTTAGCAACTTCAAGGAAAAAAATCCAGCATAAAAATTATGAACCCTCTCATTTCTGACAAAAAAATTAATTGATCCCTCCCTCTCCCACAACTCGAATGTTTTCGTGAATGTTACCGCGAAACTAAATGATTAATGTCTTCTTGACAAAAAAGACAGCAGGGATGCATATATATGATTTTCCTCACCCTTAAACAACTTATTTTAAATGTAACAGGTACTTACCTCTCTACCTGAGGGGAAGAGTCTGGTAATTGGAAAGAAATTTTCCTTTGCAAATGGAGCGTTTAAACGAAATATTTCTTCCAAAACGCCTGTCAGTTCTGTGAACCTGGAATTTTCATAACTGAATCTGAAACAAAAAAAAGCAGCGTATTTAATACATGATGGTATTATGTTTTCTAGGTTTCTATTTACACTATCATGAAAAAAACTAACGAAAAGAATATATAGCATCAAAATACATATTTCAGCCAAGCAGCGGAAGGCAATAATGTCCATCACTTCGCTTTACTGACGATGGACTAAATAAATATGGTCCGTTCCTATTCAAACTATTATGAGGGGATAACACGCTTTTGGAGATGTGGAAACTAGAGGGGTAAAAAAGTGGGGATGTGGGAAATAGGGGGTAAAAAATGGGATCTGGAAAAAATAGGAAAAAAGTGGGAAGTGGGAAAAATTTCAAAAAAATCAGGATTTTGAGAATGTGCGAATCAATAATTCTAATAAAAACCAATCAAAGGCAACGAGATAAATGTATGGACCAATTAAAACAGACGTATTGAAGATAACCGAACACAAAGAAAAAGCTCCCTTTACTGTAAACAAATTTCAAAAACAACGTTATACCTGAATAATTGTTGCTTAGGTCTATAAGTGTTGTTGAACAAATACAATTTATATGTTTACCTCTCTCCAAACATGACACTACAAATAATATTAGTTGCAGCTGACAAGAGGAGTGGTTTGACTCGAATCGGTTCCCCATTGCTGGCCTTTAAGGTATCAGAGACTACATCAATCTCTTCTACAATTTGTTCCTCCAAAGATTTCTTCCCCACTCCAAAATCTCTCAATGCTTGGAGAGTAAAACGCCGCAGAGTTTTCCAGTTATGGTCACTGTTGTATGTTATACCTATAACACGAGAATACATGAAGGGAAAAAATTAAGTCATTGTAGGAATTTTTCATATAGAGGTATTTAAATATCCATCTGATATGAATTTGTCGTAAAAATGCATATAGGACTAAATACAAAACTTTTAATTGGTAAGCTGAGATCTAAATTATTAATTTATTAGTTGTGATATATTAACTGTTGATGCTGCCTTTAAAGCTATTTGATATAGAGGCTACTTTATTAGCTTTTTAACAAACCCTGTATCATAGATACTTAATCGCGTATCTTTTATCACACCCCTGTTTAGTATGCATGTACTTCTAGAGTTAACAAATTTAAAAGTAATAATTCATGTTATTATACGTCACGTTAAAATGCCAGATTTTGATTGGTTAACACGAGGGAGATAATTTACTCTATCCCATGGCTCAGCGGGAGACAATTTTTTAAATGTCACCCTCTCGTGCAGACCAATCCAAATCGGTAATTTAAAAGACAATGAATTGAATTTACATCAATAATTTAAAGACAATGTTCAAGTGCTACGTTTTGGCCAAATAACTTTGTCATAGACTGTGAAAACAAAAGATACATCTTGCTTCGCTTTTGTTGCTTTTTCTAATAACTGTAATATTGTTATGTACATGAAGTCATAGTAAATTATTTTCAATTAAAATTTTAAAAGACAGTAATGGCAGAACATTGAGTATTAATAATGAATTAAATAACACATACCTGAGAGGGTGATAGAGCAGATTGTTGCCCCTCGAAAAAACATTGTCGACCTTCGCATTGTTGATAATGTTTTCTCGGGGTAACAATCTGCTTTATATACTTAGTAGTAAATACAAGTATATTGTATGTGTAATACAATCGATGGCAATCATGCTGTATTAGCCAACCGTGATAATATCGATATCAGTCACGGTTGCAAAGGCTTTATCAAACCCCTAATCAGTATGACGTCACGTAATCGATATCAGTCACGGTTACAAGGGCTCTATCAAACCCCTTATATATGTTTTACGTCATGTCACGTAAAAAAAATCTAAATTAGTTGTACGTGAGGTACATGTATATAATAAAGTGTGAATGATATGGCTTTTTCAATAGCACATTCTGTATCAACCCTCAACCAATATAATCCCTCGAGCAGAGCTCTTGGGATTATATTGGTGTCTCGGGTTGATACAGTTGTGATATTGAAAAAGCCATATGATATTCTCTATTTATCATATACTTGTATAAAATATTACTAAAATTTTACAGTTCAATAACATTTAAAAATATTAAAAGGCTATGAAAGGATTACTAGGTTTATTGATCAGATTCCTAAGAATTTCCTCAGCGGGCTAATAAAGGAACCTTTATTGACTGCTTCCGGAATGTTATCACATACCTTTCCGTTAATTTCCGTGACGTTTATCACATGCAACTTCGTGCATTTCCGGAAATTTGTTCGAAAACGGCAACACAGTGCGGAAAACCGCAAGTGATTTAAGACTTTTTACAAAATGGTTGAGGAGCAAATTTCAACCTAAGAACATGATAATTGTTGTGACAAGATGAATAAAATGCTTGTAATATCAATAAAAACAACTAAAGTTAAGAAATTTGTATTTGGTTGTCTGTAAATTATTACCTAAAAATTCATGGAAAGACAAAATTTTAATTAATAGTTCTTGTCTGTATTTCTTCTGTTGAAGTATATGATAAAAAGATAATTACATGTCATTTATCATATCAGACCCTTTATCGGCCCTCGTTCATGATATCAGCCCTCGAGCCCGGCTGCGGCTCTTGGGCTGATATCATGACCTAGGGCCGATAAAGGGTCTGATATGAAAAATGCCATGTAATAATCTACACCTATCACCCTCTCAGCTATGTGTTATTTATATAATTTATATAATAAATTCAAAAATACACGGTAAAATTTCAATTGCATGATGTATCAACCCTCAATCGATATCACACCTCTAGCTGATATTGATCTTCTAGCATGTGAGATATATTTTTTCATGTATCATTTTCTATGTAAAACAAACAATAAAAATATCATATCAAACACAATTGTGTGCTTAACTCAGTTTTGTCTAAAGCGTGGAAATATTCTGCATATTTATTAGCTATTTTATTTGATTTTTTATTTTCATAGAAAGATGCTATTTTGGAATCATGAAAGTAATAGTGTATATAAACATTCTTTAAATGTGTGTCAATCCAAATTTTTATATCAAATCATTCCTTATTATAATATTTGTAAATATGTTCATGACCAGGAAACTGCGTATATTTCATTCCGCATTTTAATAGAAAAAAAACTGGTAATTAATAACGATAAGTGTACCACTTTTGGGTACGAAGACTATCCGGACTGCATCTCAAAGTATTCAAAAATGCAGACCCCTCTCCTCATACAGTAAATTATAAACAGGGGATATGTATTTGTATTCCTCTCTATGTCTACAATTAAAGATTTGTGTTCATGTTGTGTATGCGTTCCCAACTGTCAGTCAATATATATCTTTTCAAGCCTGTATGTCACACAAAAGTTTATATAAGAGATATTCATACAAGTTTCAATATAAATATGAGCTAGATGTAATCACCTGTGGTAAAATGTCCTGAGTGTATTCTTTACCCCCACCTACTCACTCACATAAATGACGGATGAGGTAGTCATTTCGTATATATTGCCTGTCTTCATATATATACATGTAACAATAAGATCATAGATTAGAAATTGCAATTAAATACCCTCCTTTTTACATACCTGTACCCTTTGACACACCAATGAGTGGAGCAAACAGTTGGGGTCGGTCAGTGAATACAGCTGCCTGTTTAACAAACGCTTCATGTATCGCATCATATCCGTTTAGAAACACAATTTTAGTCGAACCGCAGTATAAACGATAAACACTTCCATACTGTTTAGATAACTCTGTTAAGCGTTTATATCCCAACGGATCCTTTTTGAACAGTATTTTGTTTCCAAAAATAGGACACGGTGGTGGCCCAGGTGGCAATTTTGACCGTGTATGCCATCCCTTAATGTAATTATATATAATGTAGGTCAGTATAGCTATCAATCCATAAACAAGATAAGTAGTTGATGAACAACAATCCATTTTGTACCATATGTTACTGATCACAATATAACACGAATATGATACTAAAAGTACACGATTTTTACTAAATATAACATCTAGGGTCTGTTCCTATGTCTATAAATCTCAAACACTTGAAAAGATCGTATTTATTCATACAAGTAGATATTGTGTATGAAGGTAAATTAATGACATTAATGACTTGATCCGTGTTGACCTTGCCTCGTATGAAATGTGATGCAAACCCATGCGCTATTATAGTGTCAATACATTGACCGTGATGACCGAATTTGGTAATGATATGGAAATATGAAACCATAAATTATGCAGTGTGTATCAGAATTACTGACTGAAAAAGGAGGCGAAAGATACCAAAGGGATATTCAAACTCACAAAACAAACTGACAATGTCATGGAAAAAACGAAACACGACAAAAACACAAACAGTACACAAAACACAGCATAGAAAACAAAGAAAGACTGAGTAACACGAACCCCACCAATAACCGGGGGTGATCTCAGGAGCTCCGAAAGGGTAAGCAGATTCTGCTCCACATGTGGCATTGTATGTCCATTTTTTAAACCATTTTCCTAAAAAGTTGTGTAAATAAGTTCCTCAAAATCTTGCCAAGTTGATGAAGGTCATAAATTTAATTTATTTTTTTTCTTTGTAAAAGCTGCCATTAGTGTAACTGGTACTGCTTCCCCTTCAGCGAGCCCGAAATTTCACCCCATACAGTCATGATTAACGAAATTTGTTTCGCCCAATCGTTAATATTCTGTGTAATATTTTATTAATTGTGTATTTCTATCATTTGGTCATTGCGTTGTTTACCTCTTTCTAGTGATAGTCTCCGATTCCACTCTTTGTACAGTTTACATTACTACCCGAAGCAAGGTCGCTCATAATATAAACAAGATTTACTGCATTTTAAACGAGACATTTCTGTCCAATCCAAAATCCCCAGTTAACATACCTATATTGTATAAGGCTGCATTTTCCCTGTATGAAGTACAGCAGCTGATATTACTGTCCTTTTTCTTGCAAAAACTTTTATATTCATAATTTCTTTTCATTAGCCTTCTTTAACCAGGCAGAAAATAACATTTAGAAGAATCAACTTTCATATAGCTCATGACCGAATAAACAAAACAAAAGCTTCTAGACTACAATCACAATTCATGTTGCAGCCTAGTGGTATGGGTCCAGTTTATCGTCATCAGCAAATCCTTCTTTACGAAATTGTCTTACTCTTAATAACTCTGAACTCGGAGGTATTGACCAATAAATCGTTCTCTGAATATTATGTGATCAACTACAAGTTTGGTTCCAACCCCAAGTAAGGTTCTTTCAGTTGCCATCTGTAGAAACCCTTTTCTGAACACATTTCAGTATATATGACATTGATATAGGTCTTAATTTCAAAATCGATGTTTTCTTATTTTTTGACAATATTATCCAGTTTGGGGTTACTTCAACATTCCCTACGAACAATTTTTACAATAGCCCCATTGTACGCAGAAGCATTCTATTAAGGAAATCCTAAATAGAAATCAAACACCTGGAATATCGTATCAACTTTAAAGAGACAAGTCATATACAGGAGCTGAGTGAATGTTTTGTTTATAAAAATGAGAAGTTCACAATGAAAAAAATTGAAGTCATCGCTTTTGTCATTTACAGTTTTCAACCGACCATCAAATATCTTTTCTAGGTGTAAATCAAGATATGAAGCAGACAAAACACTTGTTTTTTATAATTATTCATTGTTGGTGTTTAATGCCACTTTCAGCACTATTGGCTATATCATGGCAGTCAGTTTTTATTGTTGGAGAAAGCTGGAGTATCCGGAAAGAACCACCATCCTTCGGCAAGGAAAACTGACAATCCTAGTCAATCAAGATTGGAGTCCAGCGCACTTCTGTGAAGTACAGAACAGATATTAGAGAGCAGGGTAGCAAGATTTTCTGTATAGTTTCTTATGTTGCTGAATGGAATTTCCTGCGAAGAACAGCAGAAGATATTAGAGAGCAGGATGGCAAGATTTTCTGTATAGTTTCCTATGTTGCTGAATTGAATTTTCTGTGAAGTACAGCAACATATATTAGAGAGCAGGATGGCAAGATTTTCTGTATAGTTTCTTATGTTGCTGAATGGAAATTTCTGTGTAGTACAGCAACAGATATTAGAGAGCAGGATGGCAAGATTTTTCTGTATAGTTTCTTAAGTTGCTGTATGAAATTTTCCGTGTACAGCAACAGATATTAGGGAGCAGGATGGCAAGATTTATCATCATCAGGTAAAAGTACTCTGAGCTTTCTTTCACACAGAATAAATGATTATTTTGTTTTGTTATTTTGTTATACTATTATTCTAGTCAAGTGATATTAATGATATCAAATGTATGTTTAGTCCAATAATCCTGAAAAAAGGGGAAGGTTTAAAATCATGTACTAGTTTTAGCCTGCAACATATTCATGTGCCTTTCCCAAGTCAGGAGCCTCATCAGTGTCTTATCTTAAATGTTTTTTTCTTATCTGGAGAATTTGGTGTTAATGGGAGATCTTGCATTGTTTCTGTATATAGATATAAGAAGATGTGGTATGAGTGCCAATGAGACAACTCTCCATCCAAGTCAAAATTTATAAAAGTAAACCATTAGAGGTCAAAGTACGGTCTTCAACACAGAGCCTTGGCTCACACCGAACAGCAAGCTATAAAGGGCCCCAAAAATTACTAGTGTAAAACCATTCAAACAGGAAAACCAATGGTCTAATCTATATAAAAAACGAGAAACACTTATGAACCACATCAACAAACAACAACTACTGAACATCAGATTACTGTTTCACATCTTGAATAAAATTTTGGAGTTTGACATATTGTATAGACATCTGTCTATTATCACGAATGTGTGTTCTTTTGGTTCCTTTTGTCATTGGGTTGCTGAAATATACACAGCTTTACCTTTTATTCATATAAAAACATACTCATTTAAGATGTATCAGAGTATTTTATTTTTTATTTCTCACATGAAAAAACTCCACAAAATGAGATCACAGTAATAAAGGAAAAGTTACACAAAGGAATGTATAAATATCTATGGAAAAAAGTGTAAAAATTTATTGTATAAATAGATAAGTATATAGTATATATGGAATAAATATGTAACTGTATTGTATAGATAAATTTATCACATAGAGGCAAACTTAATGTATAAATTGCTAAACATATTAAGCAATAAATAAGTAAACATACTAGAAAAAAATGACAATGTGTATAGACAAGTATCAAAATAAACTAGAAAGAAAATTGACAAATTGTATAAATAAGCATTTATCCAAAAGATGATTGTCTTAAATAAGCAGTTATTGTTAACAGTCAAACTATTTTCATTTATAAGATATAATGACTAGCAATAGTTGTTTTATAATACCATACTACAAGAGAAAAGGTGTGCTGTACCATAATACAGTTATGAAATATTACATACACCAATATTTACTGTATCTTATTTTACCTCTACAAGTAAAATTTGTATTGCCCCTGCCCAAAAACCGGAATTTGACCTTGAAATTATAATAAGTTATTTCCCTTTATTAGTAATGGTTGTTACCACTGGTTACCATTTCCTGCAATTAAGAGGGAAAATTGAAAAAAAAATGTTTATCTTAAAAATGAATGAATTCTATTGTATAAGTTATGATAGATGTATAGTGACCTAAAAATATATTTAAATTTACACTGACCATACTGTAAAATTAAGAAAAATATTATCTACTCCCAACCAGTACAAAATTTGAAAAGTTGTCGCATGGTTCAGGGCATGGGCCGAGTACGATAAGGTATTATGCTCCTGGATGACTGATGAAAACAATGAAACATGTATAATTCAACCTACTATAATAATTTTAGAGTTAAATTCAGACTTTTGGAAATGAGTATAAATGTTTTTAAAAAAAAATTTTATATATAGATTTTTTTTAATATGTTCAATGCCATGTTTATTGAACCACATGCATGCCCAATGAAAACACTAATTTTGTATACATCTTCAACTAGAGGTCTAAAGAGCCTGTGTCGCTCACCTTGGTCTATGTGCATATTTAGCAAAGGACACAGATGGATTCATGACAAAATTGTGTTTTGGTGATGGTGATGTGTTTGTAGATCTTACTTTACTGAACATTCTTGCTGCTTACAATTATCTCTATCTGTAATGAACTTGGCCCAGTAGTTACAGTGGAAAATATTTTGAAAAAAATTTACAAAAATTTATGAAAATTGTAAAAAATTGACTATAAAGGGCAATAACTCCTTAAGAGGTCAATTGACAATTTTGGTCATGTTGACTTATTTGTAGATCTTACTTTGCTGTACATTATTGCTGTTTACAGTTTATCTCTATCTTTAATAATATTCAAGATAATAACCAAAAGCTGCAAAATTTTCTTAAAATTACCAATTCAGGGGCAGCAACCCAACAATGGGTTGTCCCGATTCATCTGAAAATTTCAGGGCAGATAGATCTTGACCTAATGAACAATTTTTACCCCATGTCAGATTTGCTCTAAATGCTTTGGTTTCAGAGATATAAGCCAAAATCTACATTTTACCCCTATGTTCTATTTTTAGCCATGGCGGCCATCTTGGTTGGTTGGCTGGGTCACCGGACACATTTATTAAACTAGATACCCTAGTGATGATTGTGGACAAGTTTGGTTAAATTTGTCTTAGTAGTTTCAGAGGAGAAGATTTTTGTAAAAGATTACAAAAATTTACGAAAAATGGTTAAAAATTGACTATAAAGGGCAATAACTCCTTAAGGGGTCAACTGACCATTTTGGTCATGTTGACTTATTTGTAGATCTTACTTTGCTGAACATTATTGCTGTTTACAGTTTATCTCTATCTATAATAATATTCAAGATAATAACCAAAAACGGCAAAATTTCCTTAAAATAACCAATTCAGGGGCAGCAACCCAACAATGGGTTGTCCGATTCATCTGAAAATTTCAGGGCAGATAGATCTTGACCTGATTAACAATTTTACCCCCATGTCAGATTTGCTCTAAATGCTTTGGTTTCAGAGATATAAGCCATAATCTACATTTTACCCCTATGTTCTATTTTTAGCCATGGCGGCCATCTTGGTTGGTTGGCCGGGTCACCGGACACATTTTTTAAACTAGATACCCCAATGATGATTGTGGCCAAGTTTGGTTTAATTTGGCCCGGTAGTTTCAGAGGAGAAGATTTTTGTAAAAGGTAACGACGACGGACGACGACGGACGCCAAGTGATGAGAAAAGCTCACTTGGCCCTTTGGGCCAGGTGAGCTAAAAAATTAACATCATAATCACATGTGTATCAAACTTCAAGTTGACATGATAATACTTTCTTGGTTAAACTACCTAAACCAAAACATATGGTAAACTACCTCAACTTTAACCTGGACAAAACATAGCACACATGCCTAGTTTGACTGCTCAAACAATAGTTTCTCCTCTGTCCAGAACAATAAAATGATTTTCTCCTGGGTAAAAATCATTGACAATGAAGGATTTATTATCCCCCATAGTATCATTGAACTGTGTGTTATTATTTAAATCAACAAAAGATTTATTTCCATCCAAAGAACATGTTTGGTGAAACTGCAATTGTTTGTTTTGATTTAGAGGAGACTCATCCAGCACAAAAGCAGGATTGTCAAACTCTTTGTTTACTGATATATCTCCTTCCTCGTTAATCAACGACATGTTTTCATTGTTGGAGGTAGAGCTACTTCCCAATTCAGTTGTCGCATGGTTCAGGGCATGGGCCGAGTATGATAAGGTATTATGCTCCTGGATGACTGATGAAAACGATGAAACATGAATGATGGGCATGGTTTTACACATTTCTTTCATCTCAGTTAAGTTTTGTAATGAACAGCAGCTATTTTGAGAGAATTTGTATCCGCTATCATTCAAGCAATGAATGTCTTCCCATTTTCCCCTTTGTAAATTAGTTGACGAAACAAAATTATTCATATTATGGAAGTTTGATGTTGACAAAAATGTTGGATGTCCTGTACCAGGTCGATACGAATCTACTGGTGCCTCTGCACATCTACTGAAAAGTGCAGTACGATAACCATTTCTTTCATCATTATATGTCAGAGATCCCTTTGACCTTTTTCTACTACTATTTGATGCGATGAAAGATGCAGACTTGTTTTCTGTTTTTCTTCTTTTCTGCCTCTTATCGAGTTTCTTTGGATGATCATTTGAAAATACTGATGTATCAGATACCATCGAGGGTAATTGCTTTTTACCATCGTAACAACTATCATCTTTACCTCGATAATATGGAGGTGGATCTTTATAAGGTGGAAGCTCAGCAATACTCTCTAAACTTCCTACAGTCTTGTGGTTTGGAAACATGGCTTTTATTGTCTGCTCTTTCATTTTCCTCTTGGTTAATGACTTTAAACTGCCCTCGGTACTACTATCAGATGTTTGTGGTCTCAGACTCAAGTAAGAGGGAAGAGGAGCCCTGTGGCTAAATTTAGTTGGAATGGACAGGAAGTTACTGTTACCACTGAAACTTGACCCACAGTTTGAGATCATCTGTGCTTCTGGTGTATCCTGAAATAATAAAATAATATTAAACTTCAGTCCACATCAAAGTTCATCTTTGGTTATTTTAATTTTTAATAACTACTACTCACTAATGGAGTAGGAACTGCTGCACTTCCAGGGCACTTAATGAAGACCTCTCTTTGGTTGTATGTTTCTTAATATTTAATTTACTTGGCTAAAAGATTAATTTTTGTTTGCAACGGCATAGGATACAGTGGCAGGGGAAGATAATAAGACATCAAAATTTAATGCGTTGTTTTGGCAACGGTGCTCATGACAGGTTTCCAAATTTGCTGAAAATTAACTATTATCATCAAATCAGTTCAACATTACTGAATTTGGTCATGTATTGTCATATGTCATAGGGAACATGTGTACTAAGTTTCAAGTTGATTGGACTTCAACTTCATCAAAAACTACCTTGACCAATAACTTTAACCTGAAGCGGGACAGACAGACAGACAAAAGGACGGACAAACAAACAAAAGAACGAACAGACCGAAAAACATAATGCCCCTCTACTATCGTAGGTGGGGCATAAAAACTTGATTTTGCCATGATTGTTATTGAAATTGTAGAGGGCGCCCTTTTTCTTTTCAAATACTCTTTTATAAATTTCCAAATATATATTAATATGCAATTCTAATTTAAAAATTCCAAAATATATTGATAAATATCAAAATTAAATGCTTGATTAAAATTTTCTTCTTTCTTTTCATAACATTGCATAACGATGTATTAACTACATAACTTAGTAGGTTATTCGTGTTTGCTACTGCTGCATGTGTGTTTTGTTTTTTTTAAGCTAATGGTTTTTCAAAAAATAATGGGATGAATAAATTTAAGTTTTTTACAGAAATACGATTTAAAGTACAGATTTTCCACACACTCTCACTGTATTTGTTTGCTATTTACATGTTCTTTTACTATTTCTGGTTAATGACAGACACAACTTTTCCAATTTTTTTTTCTTTTTTGTGATTTTAGCTAATTAACAGTTGTGAAGTGTTCTAGAATCATTAACACATTTTTCTCTTCTACTTGATGATGGAAAGAAGGTTTTTCCATAAAAATATACAGCTTGAAATTACCGAAGCCTCACTACTCATTTTCAAAAAGTGATAAAAAGAGTTTTTTCCTGAATTGAAGGACATAGACTAATAGGTTCAGTTGATTGCACAACATAGTTGCCTTCTTTTTTCTGCCAACCTTCTAAGTGCAACCAAGTCAAAAATATGTTACATCTTACAAAGTCTATCCAAATTATTTTTGCTAAGAATTCCGCTCAAGCCAGTGCTAGGGGCTGTCTAAACTTGCAGTGAGGTGAGAGCTTTTTTTTTTTGCTCTGTGTTGAAGGCCTCACTGTGACTTTGAGATGGAGAACAGCAATTAAAGCGCTGTTCCTTTGCTTTTTGTGTATTTTTTGCTGTACATGTACTAATTTTGTGTCATGGATGGATAACCTATATCCTTTGATTTTTTATTATAGAAATTACCTTTAGGAAAACAGATCCATCGGTACTAGCTGCAGAGGGCATAATCACTGAAAATAGATATTACACAGCTCTGAAACAAATCAATTATTTACATGTATATACTAAAATCCATTGAAGGATATTATGTAAATCTGAAATTCAATTCTGACATAATATCATGTAAAAAGAATTCAACCATAAATCTAAGCAAGTCGTAAATGGTTGGTATGTGCAGGGAAGAAGGGAAATAAAACGACAATTTCATGATAAATGGATTTTTTTTTTAAAGGATTACATGTTGTTTTTTTTGCAAATTTGCAAGAAACACCATTAATAATGAGCTATAAGTACGAAAACATGTGAAATAAAAATTGCAAACACATTGTCCAAATATAACTCTTTACCACCCACATCTTGCTAAAAGAAATTTTGCTTAAATCAGGAATTATTCATTCAAATTTTGTGTGTACACTTTTGAACAATCTTATGTACCATAATTGTTTATGCTTTTTCAATAAAAATATCCACTAATTAAAACCCCAATGTTAAGTAATTTCAATATTTGGTGTTTTTCACAATTGCTTTCCACAGATCTTGTAGGCGAATGTATGAATACTGTAAACCGGGAAATTTTTGCAAAGTCTTTATTTCGCAATTTACAAACTGAATCTTAATTCGTGCCGTTATGAATTCGCGATTTGTAGGAGGCCTGTACAAAATTTAGTAAATAATTTTCAAAGGACATAGTTATGCACATATCATATAGGTTGTACTTTGTAAATACAGCTGTTTCACAAACCACGATCTTTTGGGGAGATATATAATATTCATAGATATTTTGTCTGTTTACGTACTGGTTCCCAGATATGATCTCTGTTTCATCTCATAGAGACATAACTTGGGAATGTTACCAGTATATTTACACATAGTTGCAGGGAATTTTGAATTCTGAGGGTCAACTTAAGTGAAGTTAGGGGTAGTACAGAACTTAAGTATAAGTTTAAACTCTTAGAAGTTCGGGGCGTATAAATGTTGAAAATATGCCGCACAGCCATATGTTTTGACCTTTGAATAAAATAGTAGTGCATATCAACTTTCCATTCTAGGATATAATTTTTCACGAAACTTCATAGTAAAGTGGCACAGTTTTAGCCGTAAAGGGAGTTCCTATGGGAAATTGCATTGTCTATATTTACAGAAATGCAACCTAAAGCAAGTGCTGGAAATCAATCAAATACCTTTTTGTCTAAACAAAGTGAACAGTTTTCGTCATTCATTGATACACATGTATATTTCAAGTTAAAGTAAACCGCTACATTTATGTTTATTTGTAAAAACATATACACTATTAACAGAAAAGAATGCTTTCAATTCAGTAAGAAGCTGCAAGGATTACGGCTAATTAATCAATCTTTTGATCTTATTGATTAGTGTAGAAGATTAAATGCGGTTATCAATTAAAAAATGATTGAAGGTGTCATTTATCTAATTGTCACGAGTGATGTTTATATAACAATATCAATAATTTTCGGTTCCTTACAATATAATAGATTTCATATCAACTTGAATGTCATGAGTTAAAGGTGTTGGTTTCTAACACTGCCTTTCATTTAGAAATAAAGTTTTAATTTGTGATATATATAGATCTGTCATCTGAAAAATTGTTGTTATAAACTGGCCCTGTATACATAATCCTATTAGTATGTTAATAGATTGTCTTCATTCTTTGAATCAGTTCTTGAAAAATTCGCGGAATTTTTATTTTCGCGTTACCAATCTTACAGTGAAAAAAGCGAAAATAAAACTGCCACGAAAATTTCCCTGTTTAAATACTCACATTTTTCATGTAGGGGCCTTTTATAGCCAACTATAAGGTATACAGGTTTTTCTCATTGTTGAAGGTTGTACAGTGGCCTATTATTGCTTACATATCTACTTTATTTGAACTCTGGTGGATAGTTGTCTCATTGGCAATCATACCACATCTCCTTATTTTTATAGTCTCCAGGACTACAGATAACCCAGTTTTTGGCTGGGTAAGTGTTGCTCCTCAGTCTCATTTTCTATGCAGTATTTTGTAGACTTTTTTTTCTTCATCTATTTTTTTTTCATGGTTATGCTGGTTTCTCTTCCACTTTTGAACTTTGATTGTCCCTTTTGTATCTTCAGCCAAATATTTCAATGTTATGACCAGTACTTTGAACAGTGCTGAAAAATATTTCAAAAATGTAGCATGTACCTTTTACATACCTCTATGTACACAGAACTGTCCTGGTGCCATTGCATATTCTCCTGATCCTCTAATGGAAGACATTTCAGGATCAAAATACCTCCTGTGGGAATTGTCAAAATCTTCAGACGGTCTAGAAACCTAGAATTTAAAAATTATGTTGTTTTTATTGATAAATAAACCAGTTGCTTTAATTGGAAACTTATGTCCAAAATGGTCAGTTGTGATGTATCTATGACGTCATAAATACATCACAACTGTCTATTTTGGACTTAAGTTTCCAGATTAAAGCAACTGGTTCATTTATCAATAAAATTAACATAGTTTTGAAAGGCTTGGACAAATTATTGATTTTTTCTATTTCAGGGGCCAAATAACATGAATAATGGCTCTTATCAAACCTCCTACAGTCAAAAGATTTGGTTTTAGCTGTACTTTAGTTATCATCTGGAAACCAATTCGCTACAGACAGAACAATATGTGCATTTGTATATACCTTCCTCTAAGAGGCAAAATTTCTGTAAAATTACTAACTCAGGGGTAGCAACCCAACAACGGGCTGACAGATTGGTCTGAAAATTTCAGGGCAGATAACTCTAAATCTGATGAACATTTTTGCCACCTGTCAGATTTGCTCTAAATGCTTTAGTTTCAGAGATATAAACCAAAAACTGCATTTTACCCTTATGTTCTATTTTTAACCAAGTCGGCAATGATGGTTGGAAGGCGGGGTCATCGGACAAATTTTTTAAACAATATACCCTAATAATGATTATGGCCAAGTATGGTTAAATTTGTCTCAGTAGTTTCAGAGAAGAAGATTTTTGTAAAAGATTACAAAAATTTACGAAAAATTGTTAAAAATTGACTATAAAGGGCAATAACTCCTAAAGGGGTCAACTGACAATTTTGGTCATGACGACTTATTTGTAGATCTTACTTTGCTGAACATTAATGCTGTTTACAGTTTATCTCTATCTATAATAATATTCAAGATAATAACCAAAAACTGCAAAATATCCTTAAAATTACCAATTCAGGGGCAGCAACCCAACAGGTTGTCAGATTTGTCTGAAATTTTCTTGACCTGATAATCAGTTTTCCCTATGTCAGATTTACTCTAAATGCTTTGGTTTCAGAGATATAAGCCAAAATCTACATTTTACCCCTATGTTCTATTTTTAGCCATGGAGGCCATCTTAGTTGGTTGGCAGGGTCATTGGACACATTTTTTAAACTAGATACCCTAATGATGATTGTGGCCAAGTTTGGTTAAATTTGGCCCAGTGCTTTCAGAGGAGAAGATTTTTGTAAATAGCTAACGACGACGACAATGGACGACGGACGCCAAGTGATGAGAAAAGCTCACTTGGCCAAGCGGGCCAGGTGAGCTAAAAACAAGAGGCTCTCAAGAGCCTGAATCGCTCACCTGTATTTCAGAGGAGAAGATTTTTAAATGTTAGCAAACTTGATGAACAAATTGTGTAAAATTGTCTTTAAAGGGCAATAACTCCTTAAGGGGTCAATTGACAATTTTGAACAGATTAACTTTTTTTGTAGATCTTACTTTGCTGAACATTATTGCAGCTTACAGTTTATATCTATCTATAATAATATTCAAGATAATAACAAAAAACTGCAAAATTTTGTTAAAACTACCAATTTGGTGGCAGAAACCCAACAATGGGTTGTTCGATTCGTCTGATAATTTCATGGCCGATAGATCTTGACCAATTGAACAATTTTACCCCATTTTAGATTGCTCTAAAAGCTTTAGTTTTTAAGATATAAGCCAAAAACTGCATTTGACCCCTATGTTCTATTTTTAGCCATGGTGGACATGTTTGTCGATGGATCAAAACTTCGGATACAATTTATAAACTAGATACCCTAAGGAACATTTAGTTAAAGTTTGAAGGTATTTGGCCCAGTAGTTTCAGAGGAGAAGATTTTTGAAATAGTTTACGACGACAGACGACGACGACAGACGCCAAGTGATGGCATAAGCTCACATGGGGCCCGAAACCGGTGAGCTAAAAAGTGTCTAAAAAATGACTGAGAGGGATTATAAAACACCGTTTAGCAAAGATCATGCAAAAAAATCAATGGTCTACCATAAGTTTTTCTTTTTTGGTTTTCTTGTGATGACTTTAGCAGAAAACATTAAGTCTTTCTATTACTTTCTCTGACATATTTCTGATATTTTGTCAGACAGAAACAAACAAAATAGGTCTTTCGAAATCATATTTATCAACGGTCTTAATGAACAACATAAAGGAAGATAGTAATACCCTGATTTTGATACTGTTCTGATTGTTCTGGTTGTTTTTCTGTCCATTATTTACTTTTTTTGTCAATAGCAGTGTTCTATTTCTTTGATGTTTCTGTCTAAATCTGTCATACACTTGAACTTCAATTCTCTTCTCTTTTTTTCGTTTTTTCTTCCTGAAATATCAAAATAAAAGAAGTGCAATCGGGCAGATATCCACATGAAATCAAACATTATATTAAAGAAATTGAACTCGTATTGTAGAAGGCAAATTGACCAAAATGGCATATATATCTAAACAGTTCCAAGCTTTATTACAGCTGTGTATTCTTTTTCTAAGTTATATATATATTTATCGTCCTTCCCTTTGCCTACATCACCCTGTTTAGTGATCCATAACTCTCGTTTCATGTCTTTGAGAAGTGAGCAGGCATTATCAGCGACGTCACAATGTCTGAGGAGAAGTTATCAGCGACATCACAATGTGTGAGGAAACATTATCAAGCTTGCTTTTGTCAAGTGTAAACTTGTCTAAGGAAAGAGGAAAGACCAGTAATGGAACGATAAACAGATTATCAGGTTTTCTACGTATAGATATTGTAAAATCTCAATCACTCGACACAATGTGAAGCTTTTTTACTGACTCCCTGCTCTCACTCACCAAAAAGGTTCACATTGTGGACTGCGTCTGATATTTTACGATATCAAAGTGTAGAAAACCTGATAATCTATATTTATACTTAACTTTCAAATAAATTATGATATTAAGCTAATAGTATCATGTATCATGTTGTAACATGGGTTTTTTAGTCACATAACAATTGATTTTATTGGTGCAAATAATTTCTGATAAAGAAGCTTGATTGATTGCTTTATGCCCAGTGGAAAATATATCATGTCTGTTCAGGATGACAACAAATTAACAGTTAGCACACTAGGTTCTGCAAGGAAGGGGTCAGCAAGGATGAAGGGTCAGGGGCGGATCCAGGATTTTAGTTTAGGGGGGGTGCAAGCTTAAATTTTTTTGGAGGTAAAATTATCGAAATATTCTTTATTAAGCTGAGGACAACCCATGCTTTGCAAATTTTAGGGGGGCGCACGCCCGCCACGCCCCTGCCTGAATCCACCCCTGAGGGTGAAAATTTTGGACTGCCACTGGAAGATGTTAATATGTTGGATCTGGACAGAAATCTAAGCCTTGAGGGTTGTAACATGGGTTTTTTAATGTGCAGAAAGTATGACTCTCTCTTTCACAAGGCATCAGATTTAATGTCTTCTTTCTGACCAAACTTGTTTACAAATTAATATATTCCTCACAGTCAAACAGACGCCTTGAAGATGCTTCTTTGCAAAAGGTTTTATTAAAATCTCGGCCAGTAATATTAATACATGTAACTAAATATATACGCATTTTGAACCTAAATACAAAGGTTACCTCTCTTATAAGGTCAGATTTCTCTTGTTGGGAGGGTGACCTTTACATACAGGTTTGACTGCATAGAGCTAATAGGTATGATGCATCTTTTTAATCAAAGGAATAGAGGCTCTAAAAAGCATGAATCGCTCACATGGATTTACCTGCATTTTCAACAACTCTCTAACATTAAAGGCGAATATAATTCATGACTAAGACCTCTTTTTTGTTGATCTTTTATTGCTGATAATTTTTTTCTGTTTCCCTTTCTCTCCATCTACTAGTTTTTGCTCAAAATACAAAAATAAGGTAAAAATTGTCATTCAACCTACTAACCTTGCAGCAAAAAAAAACATCTCTTTTTGAGGCACTCCACTCAACAAAATGAACAGCTCACAATAAAATGAAATATATCTTAATTTTCAATATATACTTACTTAACATAACAGAAGGAAACAGCTGCAATCACTGGTATAAAGATTACCAGCAATGCCAACAGTGATAAATCTGATCCCTCTGCAATATACAGTAAAATGAAATGTATTCATTTCTATGATACATGAATCTCAGGTTTGTTTGTTAAGGCTACAATTAAATTTCTAGTTTTGGGGGAATTATAGGTGACAAAAAAGGTGTGTAGGTGCAAAATTTTAGTTTAACTCTTTTCTCTAAAATCAATTCTAACATACATGTAATCAAAATGAAAAGTATTTTGCAGGATTAGAGCTATTTTCCTAATGCTTGTAGCTTAAAGGTTTGGTTGGCTTGCTTGCCTTGTTTGTATACATGTTTGCTGAAGCATTGTAATTCAGATTGACATCTGCAATCATTAAGAGATAGACAGGGCTTCAGCTTGTATACATTATACTTAAATGTTATCGGATGTTAAGTATAATGCAGAGTATAAATGTATACAAGCTGAAGCCCCGTCATCTACTGATTGCAGATGTCAATATTAATTACAATGCTTGAGCAAACATTTATACAAAGCAAGCTATACAAACAAAGCAAGCAAGCCAACCAAACCTTTGAAATACATGCATTAGGAAAATAGCTCTAATAAATAAAAAAATCTCTATCCAGCAGTACAAAAATATCTTACAGGTAATATAAATATAGGAGCTAACTTACTTTAAATTTATTTTTTATTAGTCATTTTTCTTTTTTGCAGTAAAATTAATAAGCGATTATTGTTTGTTTGTATTGAAACTTACATCCATCAATAAATTTCTGAGAAAATCTAATCAGCAGAACTAATAATAAATTTGATGTGAACTTTCAACATCTTGATACATCTTTATTTATACTTTAAAGTTAATACTATAAAGAAGCCCTACTCTTACAAAAGATAATGTTTCTTTTCAAAGCATTGGACAACATTTCCAAATTTCAAATGATTCCCTGACAAAAATTTGTCTATATTCAGTTTTTTTAAGGGACATAACTCTAACATGTCTAAACAGACAAAAGCAAATTGAGTCAAACTCAAACTGGATCTATGTGAAGTTGTCCTTAACAACATTTTCTAATTTCAAATGATGTGGGGGAAGCTTTAAGTTTTTGTCCAGAAACCAGTTAGGTTGCTATCTCATTGATGTATACCACACATCTTTAATTAATATTTAACAACAATTACACAAGGTACACATATACTTTTATTATTTTTCTTACCATGCTTTTCAACTGGTATGGCATCAAAGATCAGTTCAAATTTGGATTTTGCATGATTTATAATCTGGAAATAAATCCAAATCCTGTTGCTAATGGAAACATACACTTCAGGAATGGCCTTGCCACACATATCATGACCGTTGACCCTACGATTCTTGCTGTCATAGGAACCATAAAGGATAAATCCATCTAAGCACCTATCATTTGACATCAAAGGGAGGTCAAATGCCAAGAACTTTAACCTAATGACATAATTGTCTGGAACAATAATCATCCAATCACACTGCAGGATTTTCTTCTTTTCATCATATACTGGAGACAAGATGTGTCCAGATGTAGCTTCTATTGTAGTATAACAGTCATCTGCACAAAAAAAAGCAATACCTTTAAAAATGTATTGACATTAACCAACATTTTCTAAACATAGTCAAAATGGCTTTCGATTGATTGCTGGTGTAAAAACCTTACTTTTTATTGGTGGAGGAAGCTGGAATGCCCTTAGAAAACCTTCAACCTTCAGCAGGAAAATGGCAATCCTTTTTAATTAAGATTGGAGTCAAACGCACCTGACCCGTGCGGGGTTCGAAGTCACAACCTCAGTACAGCAGATGAACTAGTTAGAACATTAGACCCCATGGCCACCAAGACCGTAGATGAAATGGAGTTAACTATAAACAGCTGTTCACTTTCTTGCCACATTTAGAGCATTCTTATTTCAAAAGTAAGCTCTAAACAGTCAGAGCTCAGACATAAACAAGTCGTTTTTTTTTGTTTTTGACTTACAGAAGTCAAAAAATGTATTTAATTATTATAAAAATGTGTATTCATTTTCAGACTTATTTAAGTCAGAAAAAATAACAGACTTGTTTAGGTCTATTTATGTTTATGAAAAGGCTTAATTTTAATTGGAGGCCAAAGTGCACCACCTATGACTTCATAAACCTGTCTGAGAGTTCACAAGGACCTGCGCTATCTATATTTAATTATCTCATTGAACATTTTTACTTATCATAAGATTATTTTCCTCATTTTGTGTGGTTATAGATTTTTGCATTGTAAAGTAAATAAACATTATCTCTGTTTTTTTAGGCTCTCATGCATAATTTTCTTTAGAAGACAAAGCATTGTCTTTCAATGTTGTCATAATTTCATGTAGATGCTTGACCTTTTTATAAATATGCGTGGGTCTTGAAGTTGACCAATTTTGGTAACTTATCGACTTGTAAGAGTCAATATTTGCAACTTTTTAATTTAGGTCAAATATTTCTTGCTTAACACTAATTGACTTATTGAAGTCATAATTTGTCTCAAATTAAAGGGAGATAAATCTTGAAACCTACATATTTAGACCCCTATGAGTCAAAAGCAGATTTAGACTTATTTATGTCTGAGCTCTGACTGCTAAATGTGCCAATGCTAATACAACTGCATACCAAATTTCATTGACTTCTCATGATTGATTCCCCTTAAACTGGCATAATGAGAACTATCCAATAATTATTTTAAAGTCAATAGACTATGACTGTGGGGCCAGTGACAAATAGTCTGCATGGATATGAGTTGTCTTTATGCTGATACAACTACATTTTGTGCACACCAATTATTATTGCCTTATCATGAGGGGTTCCCCTTAAACTAACCAAATCAAAAACTTGCCTTGCTGATCATTTTTGTTATTTAAAGTTTCTATTTATCTATTATAATTTTTATCATTTATGGCAAAATGCAAAATAAATTGGTAAAAATCGTCATTAAAGGGCAATAACTCCAATAAGAAGTCGTCGTAAAAAATTCCTCCACATTGTCTTAAATGTGCATCTTCTCTTGCTGATCATTTTTGCTTATTTAAGTTTCTATCCAGACTTGGGGTCAATTACATTGGAATGTAATTAATTGAATTACACATTACATTGCAACAAGAGTGGACACACTGAAATGTCTCGCCTGTTTTAGTGTTCATAATTGAATTTATGTTGAAAGTAAAAAAAATAAGTTAATATATATATATATATATAAGCTTTACATTAAATTAACATTTTAATGATGAATGAACATGAAGTCAAGGTGAGATAAACCCTATCAGACAAACATGTAGGCCGTACAATCATTCCATACACCAAATATAGTTGACCTATTGCTTATAGTATTAGAAAAACAGACCAAAACACAAAAACTTAACATTGACCAATGAACCATGAAAATGAGGTCAAGGACAAATGACACCTGCCAGTCAGACATGTACACCTTACAATCATTCCATACACCAAATATAGTTGACCTATTGCTTATAGTATTAGAAAAACAGACCAAAACACAAAAACTTAACATTGACCAATGAACCATGAAAATAGGTCAAGGACAAATGACACCTGCCAGACAGACATGTACACCTTACAATCATTCCATACACCAAATATAGTTGACCAATGGCTTATAGTATTAGAAAAACAGACCAAAACACAAAAACTTAACATTGACCAATGAATTGTGAAAATGAGGTCAAGGTCAGATGAAACCTGCCAGACTGACATGTATCCCTTATAATCATTCCATACACCACATATAGCTGACCTACTGCTTGTAGTATCTGAGAAACGGACCTAATCATGTAACTTTAACCTTGATCACTGATCCATGATGGACATGTAGACGTTGCAAGGAACCCATATACCAAATATAGTTATCCTATTACTCATAATAAGTGAGAAATTTACATAACAAAAAAACTAAACTTTTTTTTCAAGCAGTCGCTGAACCATGAAAATAAGGTCAAGGACATAGGACATATGACAGACGGAAAGTTCGTAACATAAGGTATCTGCATACAAAGTATGAAGCATCCAGGTCTTCTACCTTCTGAAATATAAAGCTTTATACAGTTAGTTTACGCCGCCGTCGGATAGTAATACCTATGTCTCACGTTCTGCGACTTTCGTCGCAGGCGAGACAAAAATGATCAATTACACTACACTAGCCGATTTAGGGGGGCTTGGGGGGGGGGGGGGGGGGGGGTTTCGGGAAACCGAACCCGACTTGAAAATCTTGAAATATTTTTTGCGAACAAAAAGCATACAATCACTTAATCATTTCTTTTTTTAATGTTATCTTTATTAAAAATTGAATATTCAGTGAGCACTTAATTGAGTGACACATTGTCACTACACTCCGTTAAATACACACATGTCATAATTACATTGGCCTGGGGGAAAATAAATAGAGGATCAAAGGATTTAATTTAAACCATCCAAGGCTGCTATCCTATATTTTATTACTTTGTTGGTTTAAGAATTAAAACGACGTTTTTCTGATAGCTTGATTTGAAGAAAAATACTTTCTCATTCTATAATATCCATAAGATTTTTTTTATTATTTTTTTTAAATTCTGCAACTGCTGCGACACCTGCTGAATCTAAAGATATTGCAAACTTTATTTCCACATCTGTACCTAGTGCTGATATGTATAGCATTCTAATTGAAAACTGGCAACCACTTATCATAGTTTTTTTCCTTTTCCTAAACGAGAAATGTACGGGTTTAAAAGATGCTTCAAATATGCGTGGCTGCACTATTACCTATTTAACTTCACCGACGGAATTGACTGCAAATTTTGCGTTTTGTTCGCTACTGGCCACAACCTCGGACACAGAATTTGGTAAAGGTAAATGGTGAATGTAAATTTCACGGAAACAGAGAATTACAAGACTTTCAGCTCTTTCAAACTCTTAAAGACCTATTTGCGATCAACCATGACAAGCAAGAGACTCAATGGCCTTGCTTTAATGCTTTTATTATTATTATCTTTGCAGGGATTTAACTGTACATAATGTTATTTTTAAATAGTTAGGTATTCAATTAATAATTTTTATAAGGATTAACCAACCTTAATTCAGTAAGGTTGGTGTACTCCAACTATTGGAGGAAGATATACATGTAGAGGAAAGAAGAAATGCATATTCATATCAGCATGGAAATTGTCAAAAGTGCAGTGATCGATCAGTATGCTAGAGCCTATAACATCAGGATGAAATTATCAACAATAGACTCTTTTAAAGGATAACTTTGTACACTCAATGTTTGCCAATTTTCATTTATTGAAGTATTTTTATCTGGAAATAAATAATTAAACTAATCTAAAAATTCAATTTTGAGTAACCATATGACGGATGAACAAAAAGTGTGCCAATTATTGAAAACATAAAGTTTAGTTAACAATTAAGAAAACTTCTATAATGTTCAAAAATGCTTCTCAACCCCCCCCCTTTAAGCTCTGGATCCGCGCCTGCACTAATTACCATTACACAGTTTAAAACTGTTTTGGCAATGTAATTAATTAAATTACAATTACTTTAACAAAGTAATTAATTAAATTACAATTACTTTAACAAAGTAATTAATTAAATTACACATTACATATTATCAGAATTGTATAAACCAATATGTTATGTACATTATGTTAATATATATAACTTGTCTCAAATTTAGCCCAACAATGTTAAATCTTCTTCCCTCAGCTGAATTTGACCTCTTGATTCTTTATAAAATTGAGAATGGAAATGGGGAATGTGTCAAAGAGACAACAACTCGACCATAGAGCAGACAACAGCCGAAGGCCACCAATGGGTCTTCAATGCAGCGAGAAACTCCCGCACCCGGAGGCGTCCTTCAGCTGGCCCCTAAACAAATATGTATACTAGTTCAGTGATAATGGACGTCATACTAAACTCCAAATTATACACAAGAAACTAAAATTAAAAATGATACAAGACTAACAAAGGCCAAAGGCCAGAGGCTCCTGACTTGGGACAGGCGCAAAAATGCAGCGGGGTTAAACATGTTTTTTGAGATCTCAACCCTCCCCCTATACCTCTAGCCAATGTAGAAAAAACAAACATACAACAGTACGCACAGTAAAACTCAGTTTAAGAGAAGTCAGAGTCCGATGTCAGAATAGGAAACAAAAGAAAATAAGCAAAATGACAATAATTCATAAATGAACAAAGGACTACTAGCAGTTACTGACATGCCAGCTTTATATATATATATCACGTGAGCCAAGGCTCCGTGTTGAAGACCGTACTTTGACCTATAATGGTTTACTTTTATAAATTGTGACTTGGATGGAGAGTTGTCTCATTGGCACTCATACCACATCTTCTTATATCTATTGTAAGCTTATGTGACAATTTGGA